CCCCCCCCGCCACTGCCGGCCCGCAGCCACGCACCTTCACACCGCAGCACGGCGCTGTTCCAGACCACGCTGCCCTCCTTCAGGATGCAAGTGATGGTCTCTGAGCCCTGTGTCCCCAGGAAGCCTTCGTCACACAGGAAGGAGATAGAGCTGCCCAGCTGCAGGCTGTCACCAAACCGTTTGCCGTTCACCGGAACACCAGGATCTGGGCACTCGTTGTGTCGGAAGGCTGTGCAGATGGGTGACAAGGGCAGTGGTCAGACAGAGCTGGTGTGCAGAAGTACCCCCCCCCCCAAAATAAGCTCCATTAGGATGGTCCACTCTAGACCTCCCCCAAGAGCTGCCCTATTAAGAGACGGCCCAGGGCCTGGCAGGTGGCAGGTGCTTGTTAAACTTGATCTCCTGCCTTCCCGAGCACCCCCTCCAACTGCACGCTAACGGGGTTCGCAGGTCAGACAGAGTGCTGAGTGTCCCCCATGGGAGCTCACTTACTTCACATAACGAGTGTGAAGTAGATGTCGTTACCCCAGTTTACAAATGAGGAAACTGAGGCTCCATGTGGCTAAGCAACTGATCTTTCTCCCCAGTGTCAAATCCAATCCATGTTTTTCTTAACTTCAGACAGTTATGGGATCATTTATGCTTCAGGTGACCTGGCCTCTAAGTCCTGTGACACTTCCAGATACGAAGTGTCCTACAGGAGGTGCCCTGGAAGTAACCCGACCAAAGGTCCTTCCTTCATTTCTGCCCTGTTGTCGGGTGGGAGAAGCAAGAGAGAACACACAGATTTCATCGTGCGTTGCCGCTTTGTTACATGGTCCGGGGCCACCTGTGTCATCTTGCTGAGCCTCAGTTTCCCGGCCAATGATGAGATCAGAGTTCACTTGCAGGGCCATTCCGAGATAGAAATAAGGTGAAAGTTGACGTGGAGACAACTGACGTGTGACAGTGGAGAGTGATGCAGCAACTGACCAGGGGTAAGTGCCTGTCCTTCTTCTTCCCTTTGCTGCAGGGAAAGACACCCTTTCCTGCTCTGCCTCCATCAAACACCTTCCCTGCCTTCTCCCATCCGGGGGGTCACAGTTGTCAGGCTAACTGTCTCTGAAGCCAGGCCCTGTTTGCATCCCTGCAGTTTAAAGGATGGCAACCACGGTGTCATTGGGATGAGCCACATTAAAGGACCCAATTCCTGGAGGCTGTTGGATCTTGCTGAAGGCAAGAGACCTGCAAACCGAGGGATCCTTCCCACTGGGGAGAAACTGCAGGAGCCTCTGACATGGTGACAGCTACCGTGATGCTATAC